AAAAAAAAAAGAACTAAAAATCACACTGTTCTCGTTCTGTCGTCTCTAAACAAAAAAATGGAAATAGAAAAAATTTTTCACATATTTTTTCCCCACTAAATTTAGCGAGTTTTTTGAAGAAATTGGAAAAAAATGTTAGAATGAAATATATTGACACAGAACTTAAATGCTTCAGCAGTGAGGGCAAATTGCAGCGACAAGAAATTAAACTTATCACCATTGGTTGATCAGAAATAAATAAAAACAGTAAAAAAAAACTAAGCCTAATTCAACAAGTTTTTCTGTCGGCTACAATAAACAGAAAATGTAATAAAACTGACTCTAACTTTTACGTTCGAAAACTAAAAAAAGAAAGAAGAAAAAAAGCTATTCCAACAATCTGATACTTTCTTCTCCTCTTCCACATGATTAGTTTTTAGGAATTTACAGTTTGATAAGCCCACTGAAAACAACTCTTACTAGGAAATTCATATAAGACCGGAAACGTTACTGTTGGATGAAATATAGCCGGAATAACATTTAAAGAACTTGAAAAGTACAAAATTTTGTTGCTATTAATTGCGCCTTTCAGAGAGCTTTTGAAAAAATAGCGTAGTAAAAATCCATTAATTTTTTTTTTCTTCTCCTTTATCTTTTTTTTTCTTTCAGTAATCAAGAAAAAAAAATAACTTTTGCACCTGATTTTAACAGCAACGGCACTAATAAACGAGAGCATCCACAATAAGGAAACTGGAGAAACGTCCAGCACATTTTAAACATAAATATATAATAAACATTATCAAAGCGTTAATAGGATTAATTTAAATGAGCCTCATCGACTTCCTGGGATCAACAGCAACACTGACAGCAATATCAACAGCACAACTGACGAAAACACCTCCTAATTCCCCAGTAAGAAATAAAAATTTGACTAATTACGACGATTTTCCCTTGAACATAAAATTGAGGTGACAAAATTTAAAAAAGAGGAAAGCTGATTTACCTTTTAAAATGCTTACGTACCCAACATGCTTCTCATCAGAATCATTATAACTTTCAGAAGTAAAAGACAAGCTAATGTTTTTATGTCCTCGGTGGTCAAAACTTGTTGTTGTTGCTGTTGGTAGTGATGTTTTTATCGGGTACATCCCCCCACCTGTTAGGCAACAACGAGATTTATCATTTAAGATAGAATAAAAAAAACCCAAACAGACTTCAAGCCATCCAAAGGCTAACTCATTCAAAACTCATTCATTGATTCATTCATTCATTCATTTGTTCGTTTATTCACCCCACTCATTTGGTCATAACTTAAAAACTTAGGAATTACATTCGGCATTTTGCTTATTTATCTTTTCTTTTTCATCCACTCTCCGCAAAACAAATTTATTTCTTTAGTTTTCTTTTTTTTTCAGTTTCTTTCTTCCCTTGTCTGCTTTTTTTCCATTTAAAAGCACTCAATTCATAAGCAAAAAAAAAATGCCGCTTTTTGTTGTCACAAAAATGTCCAAAAACATATTATTACATTAGAACGATTGGAAAACAATCGAAGCTATATGAAAACGATGTTATGCGCGATGATAGTATGTGGCGTAGAGTGCTGGTGGTGGTGGGAAAAACAAGGAGAAAAGGGAAAAGAAAAAACACATTACTTCGCACGACATATATATTATAACAGTAAAATATGTAAAAAGAAGGCAAAAAAAGAGTATATTTTAAATTTTTCCTGTTTATTTCAAAAGAGAAGATTAAACAAAGTTAAGCAACAGCAACAACACTATCACCACCACCAACAGCAAGCAGCAGTAACAACAACAACAGCAGCATCAACAGCAACAGGAACAGCAGAAACAATGATAATCCTCAACAACAACGGATAGCTGCTTGCTATAGTTGCCGTTGAATACAATTTTATTGAAGATAGTTACCGGACTGCTGTTGATAGATAAGTTCCGTTGCCAATACCGACGGTGGATAACCGGATAACGCTATGACAGACGGGATCTTGACTGGAAGCAACGCAGTCACCCCAAGGTTGCCGACAAAGACTGACTGGCGGAAGGAAGCTTGCTATCTATGCCTCAATTGGCTGCCGTTGTTCACTGTATCGAACGGCGGCTTAATGTAGGGGACGGTTTGCTAACGATGACGATGAAAGGTCGATATGATTGCCCGCTAATCTGTTGGCGGTCAAAGCAATCTCAAATTTCTCAAACATAACAAACGTCTGTTCAGTAATGAACTTTTTTTTTCATTTTCTCATCAAATTTTTGGCTGATCATTTCAATCTTCTATTCGCTTACCATATTTATCATTCTTTTGCAGAAATAATTCTTGTTTTACTCACAAGTGTTTCCTAATATATTAAGCCTGTGAAGGGGAGAAAGAGGAAGAAGATTAGGAAGAAAACAAAAATTATTTTAAAAAAATAAACTAAAATAGAAAACCTGTGGAGTAATGTCATATAAAAATTATGTCTTCCAATTTTATAATAACAGTAACTAAGGAAGCTGCATGAATAATTTGTTGTTTTGGCACTAATAATAATAAATAAATGTAGCAATTTTTTTATTCTGATACG